GTAGACCTTGAAAATTTGTTACACTGACTAGATCCCTGGTTTTGTTTTCTCTGCTGGTATTCTCATTTTGTAACAAAATTACTCACCCTCCACTTTTTTTTWAWTTTTTTWWAWTTYTTTTTTTCTGAGAAGCAAACGAAATTGAGTTTTCTGAGCTGTTCACCTTCAGGCCTGCTTAATTAGACATGGCCCACAGTCCTCTGATCATTCAAATGCCTTGTCTTTGCCTTCTGACATGACTTCAATATCCTTCTTAAATGTGGAAACAGAACATAAGGATCCAGAAATAGAAACCAGTGCCAAATACACACCATCTCCTCTAAGATAATATCACATGYGGTCTTCCAATGATTAATTCATGTTATCAAAACATCATGAATAGCTGATTAGTCATTAAGATTTTTCCAAAGTCGCTGCTTCCCCAAACACAGTACCCTCCCTTCAGTTTTGATTCTTCATTCGTCTGCACATGCCTTCAGGTTTGTTTTAGAAAAATATGGCCTACCTTCTGTATCCCCATATTTTGCTTATTCAATGGCCATGTGATTTCTTAAATTCCATTTTCTCTTTTTTTTCATCAATAAATAAACACTTTTTTGTTTGTTTTTCTTCTTGTTGTTTTCGCTTTGTTTTGTTTCATCAGACTACTTTTGGATATGTGTTGCACAGCTCCTAGCCAACATCTGATCTCACGGTCCAGATCTACCTGCTTGGTCAAGGAGTTGGACTAGATGATCTCCAGAGATGCCTTTCATACTCTACCATTCTGTCATTCTGTGAAATTGCTTATTTGATGATGTCTTCCCATTTATAGCCTCAGATTCATCTTACAATTTTAATCTCCTTCATATGTTTTTTTAATCTCAGTAATAGTGTCTTAATTAAAAAATATGAGATATGAAGCTGAGCTGTACAAAAATCCAGGTATATTAGAAGAACACTATTACCTTTATCAGTCAAACCAGTAATTTCAAGTTGATCTTTAAAAATTCAATTTTCCATAAAACCATGCCAATTGGCTTTGATTCTGTTGCCTCAAGTCTATTCTCAACAGTTTATTGCATAGTTTAAAACGGATATCAGACTAATAGATGCATAATCTATGATAATATAAGTACCTCCCAGAATTCCTTGACAAAACAGAACTTTCTTAGTTGTGTGACCAGGATCTAAGATATGGGAATTTTCTAAGAATTCCCCTCTCTCACACTTATATTTGTAAAGCAAATCTAAAATTTCAGAAAATTCTTCCAGTAAGCCATCTAAAGCAAGCTACTCCAAATTGCTTTTTTAATGGGAAGAAGATACAGGAGTAAAGAATATATAACAGATTTTAGTTACATTGCTTAATTAGGAGGGTAAGAATTTGCAGTTCTATCTATAGAGGATGTGGTTGATAGAATCAGATATTTTAATATTGTCAAAATATTAACATAACTCTAGTTCCACAGTCTCTCAAGATTAMTTGAAAATCAACATTAGTGATCTGTATAAATCCCTTCTTATCTAGATTCAAGTTATCTGCCTAAACTTAGCAGTTAAAAATGTCCACGTTTCTGGATTCTATATGATTCTAATGTTGTGTTTGAAATCACGTAAGATACTTTATTTTCCCTTAGGTTAGCTTATATTTAAGCCTCTTAAAATTCATTTAAAATGGAAAAAATGTGTAATTTTCTAAAACCTAGTAAAATATCCTTAAGACTCACTCCTATCCTTCTTTTTGGTTTAAATTATTTTGGCCAGCTAATATGGCTCCATTCCATATGGAAACAGACATGTTTCCTTCCCAAAGAGGCACTTTTGCAAGTGAGAGATGACATGACAAAAACCGAAAAGCATCTCTCTCAGAGGGAAGTTCACAAACAAAAGACTCTAAGGTTGCAAGACGGCATAGGATGTATTATATTTTCCTCTAAAAATAAAGGCCTTCACTAAAAAAAAAAAAATGCATTTTCTCTTTGTGGGGAGAAATCAAGAGATAATGGCTGAATGTCATTAATGTCTAGTCAACTAAGGTTATATTTTTATCTAGTCATTGGGTTTCAATTCTGTGCGCACTGCTTCCTCTTCTTTTCGAAAGTCCCAGACACATTAGGATGGAGACAGTCTTTTACTTTCAAAAACTAAGTGGCAAATATTGGTGTTTAAATGTATATATATCTCAATTATTTTTTTTGTGAGGACAAGGTCAACAACTGGAGAAATTTCCTCCTCCTCCATATACACTGACAGATTCATTTTGAGTGTAATCCAGTTCCCATCATACAGTGATTTGGGTGTCACATCACTATCTACTCTGGCTTTACAGGTTAAGATGGAAAATGACTGSCAGTGAGCGCAAAAATAGGCCTGTTGGGGTGCTGTTTTTTATTTCCCTCTACACAAYGGCAGTGGTGTAGAAGGAGACAAGGTAACATCCTGACAGCACAAATCAGTCTCTCACTCTACAAGCTGAGAACATCACTACTCTTCTGTTAAGAGTCTAACTGTGGTATCTAMTTAGTCCCTGATTTTATCTTGCACCCTTTCTGAGCTCCTTATGAAGAACTGCCGCTGAGGAAGTGCCCCTGCCTGAAGTGCTCTTGGGGCAGAGCCCACAAGCAACTACATCAAGCAGCACAGGAAGAATTGGATTTTTTTAAATAACCCAGGAACTCAAGGAGTAAATCTGCCTTTCTGACTCCTGAGACTAATGATGGGTTTATCACATAGTCCTTTTACAGCAATTCTTACATCTTTTTTTTTTCTATTTTGATCATATCATAACAAAAGACACTCATACCTATAATTATTTAAAATATATGCATTCCTACTGGAGTAATATTTCAGCATACCAAGCTAATATTGGCACAAATCAGTACAATGATTAATTGCAAAACTTGCACCTACATGATATTGTTGATAGTAGAGAGAAAGGCAATACTTCTGACCCTGGTATCCCATAACTATTAGAATCTCAGTTATTCTCACATTGCTGCATCACTGGGGAGCAATACCAGACTATAATGCCAGACTATCTTACACATGCAATTTCAAGCATTTGAATGCTGCCTACTATGAAAGATATCAAGGACCAGAATGTGGATGGGATAGTCTATAAATACAGCTCTAACAAAACACAGCCATATACTTTTTGTTTGTTGATTTAAAAAAGATGCATAAACTCATACATCTCTGTCATGAACCTGACACCTGCATGTCTATTACCACTGAACCAGGAAAATAACTAAGGAGTTTCCTCTCTATTATTGTCTTATTGTCAGTAAGGAGGAGCTACTGGCTCACACATGGCTTTGCTACCACATTAATTAAAGTACCACACTTAAAAGAAGATCTGGCTTACTTTGCAACTAATGCCCTTTGCAGCTCTGCCCTCATGGCCAACAAGGTCAATGGGATCCTGGCCTGCATCAGGAAGAGTATTGTTAGAAGGTCAAGGGAGAGGATCCTGGCCTTCTCTTCAGCTCTGGTGAGGCTGCACCTGGAGTATTATGTGCAGTTCATGTGGAGCTTCTAGAGAGGGTCCAGCTGAGAGAAACAATGATTAAGGGACTGGAACATCTCTCATACAGGGAAAGACTAAGCTAGCTGGGCCTGTTTAGCCTGGAAGAAGAGAGGAGATCTGATCAATATGTTCAACTACGTGAGGGGAGAATATAGGGAGAAAGGGGCCAAACTCTTCTCAGTGGTGGCCAGTGACAGGGTATAGGATTCATAAAAGATCATGATACTAGATCATGACGAGCTCCGTGTTTCTAAATTGCTTCCAATATACAAGCTTACATATGCAGCAATACATTCTTCTAATAGAGAAAACAATGATGTTGTGCTCTTAAAGTGGCTGAAATGATCCTTGATTATTCAGAAGATAGAGATCTTCCATAAATACCACCAAAATATTACTTTTGCTGCTGCTGGTGTGCCAGTAAAGTTGCAAAGGAAACATTTGTACAAAGCAAGCCAAAATCTTTCATGGCTTATTCAACATTAGAAGAATTAAGCTCTCTTCACAGTTTCCATGCAGCTGCTTCTGATTTTGAAAAAACTGTGGTTTGCCTTAAATTTTAGCTTCCAGATTTCATCTGCAGTGGCTCATGGTTAACTGAAAAAAAAAAAAAAAAAAAAAAAAAAAAAAAAAAANAAAAAAAAAAAAAAAAAAAAAAGCAAACAAAAATATAACTCAAAATTTAAAAATTTTAAGCTAGTTTTTAAGGACAAATATGCCCTGCTATCAGTTTAGCAATTTTTCAGTAAAAAGGAGAACATTAACAAAATGTATTAACAAAGTAGCAGTAGCCTTGACTTTATTTAGTCACACTTTGCAGGTGCGTTTTGATACTATTTCCCGTGTTATTGCTGTTTTTCTCCTTTATTCTAACCCTTAATGAAGAAAATATCTCCCTTAAAGCTATCCTAGAGCTTCCGGCATGCAAGAGAGGTGTGTGAATATGCATTACACAGAGAATATCTCTGTGCCTTTAGATATATATGAGCAGTATCCATGTTCCTGTTCAGGTACCACTGGTACTTTAAGCACAAGGGTACAGAATTCAGCATAGAAAAAACCTGTTTAGGTTTTGTGAGGTTTGCAGCCTTCATCAAGTTCAATGCAGACATGAATTTGCTGCAAGAAAAAAGGCTAGCCTCAGGAGTTTTAAATAGTTCAGATAAGTCTACACAAACCGAATACACCTCAGTGACTGCAGTTTAGCTTCTCCGCCCAAGTAAAAGAGGAGAGTTATCCCTTTCTAAATTGTTTTGTTATTTTAGGTGAAAACATTTTGAAACAGATTCAGTAAACGCTTTTTGTATCTAGGGGATCAAAAGGGCAATATTTCTGTTCAGGAACAGAAATCAGAAAAAGAAAAGACTTCTAGGAGGAAATTTAATTTTTTCAAAGTTATTAAGGAGAACATTAACTGATCAAATGATGCTATGTAGGTCCAGCATAGAGCTGGAAGGAAAACATGAGGCTCATTTTTAAGCTCCGGGAATGATGGTTCATAACAGAAGTACTGACACAGTAGCCGGAGTAGAAACCAGGTGTTACTACTGACATGAGGAGAAACTCATATTCTATCCACCTGTAAATACCAGACAAAGTTTACAAATAGCCTTAACGATATATCTTTATATATCCAAATCCTTGTACATTTTAGCCCATACCTTATACCCATTCCCAGCACATGCAGTGCAAAAATATTGGTAGTTTGTGATATGTTCACATGTATCAGGAAAGTATCTTCAATCTTTAAATTAAGCCCACATTTCTTATTGAGGTCCATCAATACACAGTCTTTGATGGCCTTCCATTTTTGCTTCCTAGCAGGGTAGATAGCAGATCAGCATGACCACACACAGCAGATTCTTTTAACATATTGTGCCTTTAAATTTCAAATAGACACATTAGATGAGGYGGTGTTACTCTTCTTGGTTCTTCTGATCCACTGTTTTTTCATAGCTCATGTTATGCTTCACCTTGTCCAGGTGTTGGAACATTATGGTCTGAAATCACAAATGAAACGAAATTATCTTAGACCTGTGGATCTATCAAACTCTCTGTCTATTGGTCAACTTTAAAGTCAGCACTCCACAGCATTTTATGTGTGAAACAAAACTCATGCACAGCACGGAAGTGATATATTTATTTCAAAGTGCGTACTACTTTGCACGCTTTCATCATAATCAGATCATTTTTACTCTTTGATCCCCATGTTTTTTATTTTATCCGCTTGCTGTATCTGTATTTACAATTAGATTAGAAGATCCTTGAGGGAAGGTGAGTATCTTTTGTTATATGCTTGTACCTAACAGTAGGCCATTGAGAGCTCAGTACCGTCGTGAAAGAAATAAAATATAATACGATACAAGACATGGGAAATTAAACACCAATATCAAAGGCCTCTTTTTAATTAAGGCAGAGATAATGAAGTGAGCTATATCTCGCATCTGTATCTCATTGGAACTAGTTACTGTGCTGTACCACATCTCCTGCATACAGCAACGACCAGCAAAAAATCAGGCGGTAAGGAACAGACTTTTCCAGGGCCCTGAAGGCCACACTCTGATTGTCTCCTGCAATGCTTAATACAGGCTTATTTTCAGGATAACATCAGAAATAATAATGAGACTCCCTGTAATCAAGAAAGTGCAGCACCCAAAATAGGTTACTCAAGAGCAGGTTATTTCCATAGTGTTAGGCTGAACTGAGTTCTTCAAACAGGAAGAAAAAGCTGCTTCAAGACAGCCTGGCTACATGAACAGCTTTTATATATGTTACCATTAAAAACTGAGACATGAATTCATTTTTATTGGTTTAGTTGAACTCTCTCTCTGCAGTGAGTGCAAATCCAATCTCTATTTCACAGGCCAAAATATAGGTGTGAGTATCCATTAGTGGAACAAAAGGATCATTATATACTATACTTAAATCTCATGAGTCYAGAGGAAAAATATATGCTTAGCCCACGTATGCAATTTAAAATAAGGATAATTAAAATGATGTGTTGGAGGGAATATGATTGGTTCCCTTATTGTCAATGGAAATGTTGAAAAAGAACGAGATATTCAAATTCAGAGTCTAAATTCATTTCCTTCTCATTGGCAATAGAGTCCAAAAGTAAGAAAGGAGCATAAACTTATTACTTGGAGGCACTGTAACATGGTAAAATCAAGCAAGTAATCCACAGTTTGTCCTGTTTTATGAACAAAAACTTACGGGGCCTTCTTTAGTGAACCAAAAACCTAAAAAGTGCAAATGCAAGCTAGATACTTGCCACCATATGACTTCAGTGGGGAGAATGGTTTGAAATGAAGGTAAATCTAGAAGATTCCCATTGCCATATCTCATCTCTGTTTTAGGGCAGGGATTATAGCCTTCCAATATGCAGAAAGGCAAAATTCATCCACTGTCTAAAATGCAAAGGACCACAAAAATATGAAAAGAAAGAAAAATGAGCATTTAAAGTCCCAATTTATGCATGTTTTCTCATGAGGCTTATTATGAAATTATATTTTATGTCCCCTTCTTATTTTATTTTCTCTTTACATTGTTATCTGTCCTGAATATAGCTAACATAGTAGTTTAGAAAATATAAAGATTTAGACATAATAGAAAATCTAGAGAGAGAAGAAAGGTGCCTCAATGCCGAATGTCCTAGATGGAGTCTAGATGAATAATCCATAATTGATTTTATCTAGTCCCAGATTTTGTTTATAGGACTTTTTTTTCTATATCTGTCAGCAATTAGAGAAATAAAAATTGATGACTTCCCTATATCTCATTAATTCCATGTATCACATTACTCAGAAACTATTTTAACAGCATAACTAAACAGAAATTTCTCTTTGAAATTACATGAAAATAAGACATATTCAAAGTGGGTTATTAGATCATTCCTAGTTGAAAATGAGTCCAGACAACTAAATAACCAAGAGTACAAAGTATTAATAATGAAATATAAAAAAAAGTATAATTGCATTTTGGATGGTATCCTTTCAAATAAGAGACTATATCAGATGTCGGAAATATGTATTTGCATTAAAAAGTACAAAGATAGAATATGAGATAATGAACAATGAGATTTCCTATTTCAGATTTAACTATTTCACGATAGGATCAAAACTTGTGTGCAATTAATTTAAACATGAATATTTTCAAGTCAACTCACCATTACAGATCTGGAGTTTAACCCAAGGAAATWAATGTTTTTCACAAATATTTCTAGGCACAGCAATCAATGTTCTGTTGAAACTAGTTTGAAGATGGTGATTTCTACCTAAGTACTTGCTTGTGAGCAGAAGAAAATGTAGAAAGAAAGAAACAAACAAAAAAGAAAACCAAGGAAATTCAAGAAATACACATTTACACATTGTGCAAACTTAATACAGAATATCCAGTGTAATAAAATTATGTAAAAAAGTTTTAATAAGAAAAATATTCCATTTATTACTTTTCTAAATACTTTTAATCAGATAAAATGTATTTATCATTTAAAACGTCAAACAATTTTTCAACACATGTTGAAACTATACTAACTATAATAAAACTATTATATGAGCTCATCTATATTAACTTCTTTCAGTAATAATGTAACTGCGAYTTCGGCATCATTTTTTAACATCTAAATATCTAATATATTTTCTGTATACTTTGGATATACCAAATATTTTTCTCTTACTACTCACTCAGCTCTTGTACCAGATGATTGCAACATTGCTTTCCATCCRTCAGAACCAGAAACATTGTAGAATAGTGAAGACAAAGAAGATGATACAAATTCCTAGAAAGTTAAACATTTTTTTCTTCTTCTACTTCAATATCACATCTTTGCCAGTACACATTTGATCCAGAAGGGCATATTTCAAGCATAGGCAACAAAAAGAAATTCTCTTTTCGTTGCAGAAATTTGCTTGGGAAAAAAAAAAGAGAGAATGAGAATCTAAATTTATTTGGTAAAATTTTTTATAAATGAGGAAGACACTTTCAAAGTGTCTCATATGTTTTCAAAAAGTACAAATGGTGATTAAGCGCCAAACACTCTTTTATATCAATATACTTAAACATATACTTAAACATATAAGATCATACATTTCATACCCATATCAATATACTTAAACATATAAGTATATGTTTAAGTATATTGATATGGGTATGAAATGTATGATCTTTTGCCTTTCAGTCTTGGGTGCAACTCAATGCCAGTTGAGGTTTGTTTAAGAAACAGCTATATAGTAAATGCTGAAATATAACTGATAGTGCTGAAATATAACTGATAGTGTTGGCAATCTCTCAGATAAGTTGAAGACAAATTTATCATGACAATCTGAGCCATTTTTGCAGAATTTGATTTCTTTAGAGAGAAAACTACACACAATAGCTTAGAAACATGTTGCAGAGACATATGTCATAACGTATTTGTATGAGATAATGGTAAATTTGTGATCTGCCTTAGGTAAGCAGTGGCACATAGCTCTACCAGCTGGAAAGCAGAGAATCACTTGGTGTTACAACCCTTTTCTCCATGGAAGGTATAATATGTTTTGAATTATTTTTTTYTCTCTCTCTCTTTGTGGAATGGCTAAATTGCCTTGCATGTCCAAATGCTCTAGCAAGCCTCTAAGGAGGAAAAGTCTGTGTGCTCCTGTCTCCACTCCGAACTGCTTACTTCGAGATGACCATACAGGCRTGACAATAAAGATAGGCAGCCCTTTAAACTACTGGCAATGAATGTCACTCTTTTGACAATTGCTAAGGAATGGAGACTGAGATGTTTCCTTCTATGGAGTAGCACTTCATTTCAGAAATCAGTCACAATTCCAAGTTCATTCCACRTATGCAAATTAGTATCTACTGGTGCTGTCCTTACTCTGCGAGTTTGCATAGTATGTTTATTTCCATTTAGGAAATAAAGGGTTTAGGCTCCCTTGCATGGTGATCTTCCTTATCCGTGAGCAATTTAAAGGGACTTTAAAGGATCAAGGGACTTTAAAGGATCAAGAAACATGTAGGTAGGTTTTCAATTTGTCTTTGAATTAGTTTTGAAAAATGCTATACAAGTAGTGTATAGTGACAGGTTCCTAGAGTCTGATGTAGTATTCAATATTTAGGTGGTCAACTGCACTGAATTACTGTCCCTGTAAAGAATAAAGAAAAGAGGGAAAAAAGCAAAAAGAGAAGAACTTTTGGTTTTGACCCAAAATATGTCTGATACTAAAAGAAAATTAATGAATAGATATGAATAAAAGTAGCAAAAAAATACAGGAGCAGCTATGGTTGGAAAGCAATGTGGTCAAGGAGTGGTTGCTGTGGTTTCTTGGCAATGAAAATAACCTCAAGACAGGAAAAATTCAATTCTGTCTCTTAAACTGTTGGCCTTATGCTTTCTGAACAAAAGGGAATTGAAGGCTGGAGATTACCTGTGCAGAGAGAGAAATCCTTAAAAAAAGTCTAGATTGTGGCCCCGTTATTGCAGCAGTTGCTAAAGAGATATTACAGTAGTTCCAGCAGCTTTAACAGTAGATGTGGCCAAATTTCAGGTTCCATTCTAGGCACTCAAGGAAATGTCACTCTTCTCATGCCACTATCATAGAAATAATCAGAGTCTTCTCCTGTCCTGTTTAATGCTATATTTATGTTATATAGCATGCAGAGAAGGAATCCTAATTTCTCTCTTTGCTAATGTGATGATACAGGCCCTTAGACAAGAATACTTATAATGACTTTGGGCTAATGCAGGAGAACTAATTTTAAAGAAGCTTAATATATATCTTARATTGCAAGTCTACAGGGGTATATTTTCATCAGTTTAATGCCCAACATAATGTCTGTCTTGTTATACGAATCTTGAGACCCTTAAAGGAGAAAAAACGAGTGCACCTTTACCAAATGGAAAATACTGGACAYAGAAATACTGAAATAGCATTTAGAAAGTCTGTTGGAAGTAATGAAGGTCTCTATRTATTGCCAGCTGTACATTCATGCTGGCAGAGCTGGGAATAGGAAAGAGTGGGATTCCTTATGGCTAAGCTGTCAAGGAGAAGAAGAAAAAAGTTATCCATATACTAAAACCCTAAATAGCCATTTAGACAGATGGAAGAGAAGTGTGTTTCTAACACTGAAACTAGAAAGGAGAGTCCTACACTCTGTTCTGATGACAAACTTGCTTGGTGGTAACATCTAGAGAAATTTTATGAATACAAACAGCATAGAAGGCAACTCAAGCAGCACTCACAAACATGTGGCTGTAAACCTAAAAAATATGCATCATTTTTTGAATAAATATCCTTCATATTACACTTATATATTAGAGTGTATTAGTCAAAGTTTTGAGAGAACTAAAAGTATTATTCAAAACTAAATGCATTGAAAATAAAAAAGAATGTTCATATCATTTATTTTTATTTAAGAGAAAATAAGTTTCTCCTTTTCTAAAATTCCTTTGTTCTGGGCTTTTTTTTTTTTTTTTCTTTTTCACTTTCTTTCAGAAAAACTTCACTTCTTTTTGTCAGTTGATGTCATCATGCAACACAGTCACAAACACATTTAGGTAAGTTGTTTGACCATGTCTGCAATTAGGCATCCCGTCTTCGTGTATTTCTCAAATACAAAGAGTGCAACAAACTCAATAACCATGTATCACAGCTAGCAAACTGGGAAGGAGAGCTACAATTTAATTCAGTTAATGAGTAATTTTGGTCCAAGAAACAAGGACAAGGTTGAAGAGAAATAACGTGGGGCAGCGTATTAATGGCACATCTTGTGCACAACATAAAGCATGGGATGAGTCAATGATTTAGTAGGTATTGATATGCAAACCAAACAAGTCCTCCTTTCTAAGCTAAGATCTGCTGTTTCCTCCTTAGTTTTGTTCCTCATTAAAAAAAAAAAAATTCTTCCTGATTGCAGCCACCAGGCTGTTTTGCTCACAYCATTTTTTATTTCATTGTCAATAGCTGCCAGGTTCCAAACAGCCAAAACCACTATTTTTATTGACCACCTCTTCTGTATTGCTGGGATGGACATGAGTCCATGAGGTAATAGTGGGATTCGGGACAGCAACCCAGCCTGACCTAGCCTAGCCTTTCTGTGGGGCCCAGACCCATCCTGATCATTTACACTCATTTGTAAAAAGTAGAAGTAAAAAAGTACACACTGAGTTGCAAGTGACACTGAGATTTTAATAATAAAGTGATTGTAGTACATCTATTGAGGATGGGAATATGAAAGAGCACTTTCTGGAGAGAATGCAGGGATTTTCATCTTTTGTGTCATGCTAAAGAAGAATAGCTGCCCTTTCCAACTTCACAAAGCATCTTGATTTCCCTCTTGCTGTTTGGTTATGCTCTTTATAATTCTAGTCTTCAACCTGTTTTTAAGAGCTGAAGATATGTATGTCTTCAAGTACTGTACAGAAGCCTCAGGATAGACAGAAAATTATCTTCATGTCTCTTCACATGTGTTTCAAAGAGACATGACTTTCCATTATATTATTTATAGTCAAGAGACTTGTATGACTCACAGCATCAAAAATTTTGTGTAAAAAAATAACACAGAAGAGTGATACGTGAGTAAGAGTACATAAATGAATGATGTTGTGCTAGTTAAATCTCAGCCTGATGCCATCAACATGCTACAATTTGCATAAGGTAAAGGGGTTCAGAATAAAATACATTGGTATGAAAATTCTTATTTTCTTCTCTCAATTACCATTCTACTATTCATTCTCATAGAAAATTTTATAAGATTGTATGGAGGTACAAAAAAAACAGAGAATATATATTGTCTTCCATATCTGCCATTATTGTATTCTTCTTTGAGCCTATTTTACTTCTATATTAAAGTATAATTACACCAATAGTTTTGTATGCAAACACTGGAGCCACTGAACTGAAGAGTATAAGGCCATGAACTARTTTAATACTATTTGCATTAAAGCACAATTCCCTTTCCTAAGATTGCCACTAGGATGAATACTAAGCACTCCCAAAACTAAGTATTTTATTTTGAGCTTATTTTTCCTTATTCTCAAGATCTTCTATTAGTGTCTAAAATTAGAGCCTACTTACCAATTAAATTACTAAAATTTGCCTACAATTACTTTAATGGTTAACTGTATGATATTGGAGGTTATCAGATACTCACAGTATCTTGTACAACTTCATATGGATCAACAAAAAGGTAGGTAGATTTTGAGTTCTKGGCCAAAGAGATATTTTATCTCATAACTCAATTTCATCAATTGGCCATAAATTTAGTAACTGGCAATGCTGAGTGACAGCAGTCCAGAGAAACATGTGCTCTGCAGCATCTGCTAGTTGTA